ACTGACACTATGGAGATGCTGATGTCTATCTAATAAAAGGATTTAGCTATTCAAATTGCGCAGACATGTGTTGGATTTAAAGATGGCTCCCCCATAGTGCAAGGGTGAGCCAGAAAATGCAATGAAAAAATATATTTATTTATAAGCATTACAAAATAATATAAACTGAATTTTCACAGAAATTTCTACGTAATAAAAGCACAAACATTATTATTACAGTGCAAGGGGTGCATGTTTATTAAATCTGTACCTTGCAAGAGACTAAAAGGTGTGCAAAGAAGCACAGCGGTGTGATGAAAGTAAAGAATATATACATTTTACTTAAAGCAAAGGATGCCTGTCTGATATGTTTGCCTTAGGTCATTGACACATTTAAATATGTATAAAAAAAATTACACCTGCACAAAATGTACCAAATGTGGTATTCAGTGAGAATGTAACCTGTTGACTGACTGCCTTGGGGTAACCTTAGAACAGTAACCCAGAAGAATAAGAAAGGGGTTCATGAGCAATATATAAAAAATTTGACCTAATTCAATGGTATTTTTAATTTTACACCAAAAAGCAGTGACACTAACTCACTTGTTTAAAGAGAATTATAAAAATGATGCAAATAGAAAAATTGGGCAAGGTCTAAAACTGGAGCAATTACCTTGGAAACCACTGGAATTGGCAGCAACATTCCATTGTTTCCATAGTGACTGTTTCGTGTTTCGAACTATTACAAAACACGAAACATGATCAGAATGTGAATTTGGTTTTTATTTCACAGAACAGGTTACTGTAAGATAGGCATAGAATAATTGTTATAAACTTGTGCATTCAGTGTCAAACTAACTTGAATTAGTCTGAATTTAGGCCGAATGGCATGTCTGATTTCCATAACTTCTAAGCACCATACGAACGTATAACCGAACAAACAATTTGTGCAATAGACGAGCGTGTTCGTTTGATTCATGATTTAGGGTTCTGTCCGTGGCACCAATAATAGATAACTGATGGGAACAAAAAGATAATTAATGGCTAGGGGAAAGCCACTAAATGCTGATTTTATTTAAAGAGCAAGTGAGACGTGAGCAATAGACAGGAAAAAGACGAGCAGCAACAGATCTATATTACAGCGCTACAGAATTTGTTGGTGCTATATAAATAATAAAATAATAATAATAAAATAATAATATTAATATACTTTAAAGGTTTTTTTTTTTACTTCTCCTCCTCTTTTTCCCTCTTTTGGTTACTTTTCTCAATCTCTGAAACAAATGGTGTTAAAATGCATTTTAAAACGTGTTCTGCAAAAGATATACAGTGATTAGCCAATTTTCACATTTTCTTGGTTTGTCCAAATCTTTTTTCCTCAATATTTTTGCATGGGCACCATACGAACGACCTATTGGACTACTTGAACTAAATATTTTTGTAAGTTATTCGGCCAAACCAAATTTTTCCTCCGTGCCAAAGTCAAATAAATATGCAGTAACCCCAGTAAAGGAGAAGACAAGCTATATCCTGAATCTGTGAAAAGCTGTTTTACTACTCAGGGCTTTGAGTTCTGTTCAATGTTTCATAGTAACCAGTTAGCCCAAAACCCAATGTGTTGTAACAAGTGATGTCACTGGTTCATTAAATAAATAGGCAATCCCCTATGATGCTAGGTTAAAGGAACAGTCTAAATAAAAATGAATTTATTTTTGGTACCCAGATTTCCATAATTTGTTTTGATTAATGGGCCCCCTTTCTTTAAAAAGGTAAGTTTAATAGCAAAAAACTCCTGTTAAATTGCTATTAAACTTACCTTTTTGTTCTAGAGCCAAGACTTCCATCCATCCCATGCAAGTATATATAGCTGAACAATAAATCTGAGACCCACTGATGTCACAAAAAAAAGTGTATGAGGTTAAGAAAAGCTCAAATGTTGCATTTTGTCTTCCCAATGTCACATTAAGTGACCTCCATTTTTCTAAGTCTGTACATAATAGCACCCATTAAAACAAAAAACAAACAAAAAATTGTTTATTTTTCAAACATTTTATCGTTTAAAAAAAAATTAAAAAATAGATAGATAGATTTGATGGGTGTTGGGATTACAATACGCAGAAAACCAAAACAAGACGGTGTAATAGCAAACAAATAAACAAGAATAATTATGGCTCGAAATAAACATTATGTTCAAAAATACAAATACATACAAACAGGCACATATGTAGAAAGTTCTTTCTAAGTCACTGGACAGAAATTACTTTTTAAACCACTGTGAGATTTAACCTAATTAAGTGGCGGACATGGGAGATGCTTTATAGAAAATGAATGGGATTTCCTAAAGAATTGCTCTTTATCTTGAACTTAAGAAAATCTAGGACAAGAGAAAGAATCATTCAAGGCTGTCTGCGTAGGCGTAACAGATATGCCATCCAGTTACTATTGCTTCATACTGTGTTAATATGGGTGAACAAGGCTATTTTTCTTTATATGCTCCGTATGATATAAATGCAGTTGTTATATGTTGGCAAAGCATGTTTGAGCTTAATTTGCAAGAGACCCAATATTCCAACAGCTCATTATAACACATGCATTGTAAGATGATTTCTATATACATCATGAGCTACATCCTGTGCAATGCTCCAGACTGATACAATTAATGTTTGCAAGGTTTCCATTATTTTATTTAGAGAGTTATTGCAATAATGAGATTTTTCTGAATGAACGGATAGGGGATAAGTCAAGTGTCTTTTATTATACTCCCACCAGCTGAGAGGGATTTGATTAGTTGCCAATTTGAACTGAACTTTTTGAACGTTGCCTGTTATTTGGGATGGCAGAATAAAACACACATTGCTCCTGAAATCACCAAGTGCTGGAGATTTACTTCTTTGAATTTCTGTTGTTTCTCTGTCATCTCCCTTAGCTCTTGCGCCTTTCCCCCCCTAAGTACTCGTCCCTTTTCTCTTGCTTTTCTGTTCTTTATTTTTTTCTCTCTTTTTCTCCTTGTTTCACTCTCTCTCTTCTCTCCCTCTATACTACATCCTCCTCTGTTTCTAACTGTCCCCTCGCCTCACTTTACCCTATCTGCCTCTATCTATCTATCTATCCCCGCTATCTTGCTCCTCTTTAATTTTCCCAGGAAAGGGCTGGCAAACGGGACAGGTGGGCATTTTGTTTCTTGGTGCTACTAATAAAGAGAAGTTAATGTCTGTCTGTCTCTCTGCTTCTCACTCTCTTTCTGTCCCCAAAACTCTCTCTGCCTCTCCCCATCTCTATCTCGCTGACTCCACTCTGTCTCTCCCCATCTATCTCTGATTCCCCTCTATGTCTCTCCCCATCTCTCTCTCTCTCTGATTCCCCTCTATGTCTCTCCCCATCTCTCTATATCTGACTCCCCTCTATGTCTCTCCCCATCTCTCTCTATCTCTCTGTCCCACCATCTCTCTTTGCCCCAGTCTCTTTCTATATCTCATTCTCCCTCACCTATCAATGTCTCTCTGCTCTGTCTCTCTCTGTCTCCTTTCTCCATCTCTCTCACTTCCCTGTCTCCTTTCCACTGTCTTTCTCACTGCCCTGTCTGTCTCTCTCTGTCTCCTTTCTCCACTCTCTCTCACTACCCAGTCTATCTCTCTCTCCCCAGTCTGTCTCTCTCACTACCCCCCAGGCTGTCTCTATCTCTCTCCCCAGACTGTCTCCCTTACTACCCAGTCTCTCTTTCCCCAGTCTATCTCTCTCACTACCCAGTCTCTCTCTCCCCAGTCTCTCTCTCTCTCTCAATTCCCAGTCTCTCTCTCACTCCTCAGGCTGTCTCTCTCTCTCCCAGTCTGTCTCTCTCTCTCTCCTCAGGCAGTCTCTCTCTCTCCCCAGTCTGTCTCTCTCTCTCTCTCCTCAAGCAGTCTCTCTCTCTCCCCCCAATCTGTCTGTCTTTCACTCCCCAGTTTATCTCTCTCTCTCACTCCACAGTCTCTCTCTCCCCAGTCTGCCTGTCTCTCTCTTTCCCTAGTCTGTCTGTCTGTCTCTCACTCCCCAGTCTATCTCTCTCTCCCCAGTCTGTCTCTTTCTCCCCAGTCTGTCTCTCTCTCTCCCCAGTCTGTCTCTCTCTCTCCTCAGGCTGTCTCTCTCTTACTCCCCAATCTCTCTCTCTCACTCCCCAGTCTCTCTCTCTCCCCAGTCTGTCTCTCTCACTCCTCAGTCTGTCTCTCTCTCACTCCTCAGTCTCTCTCTCTCCCCAGTCTCTCTCTCTCCCCAGTCTGTCTCTCTCTCTCCCCAGTTTCTCTCACTCCTCAGTCTGTCTCTCTCTTACTCCCCAGTCTCTCTCTCTCCCCAGTCTGTCTGTCTCTCTCCCCATTCTGTCTATCTGTCTCTCTCTCTCTCCCCATTCTCTGTTTGTCTCTCTCCTCAGTCTGTCTGTCTGTGTGTTTCTCTCTCCCCAGTCTGTCTGTCTCTCTCTCTCCCCAGTCTGTCTATCTGTCTCTCTCCCCAGTCTGTCTCTCTCTCTCTCCCAATCTGTCTGTCTCTCTCTCCCCAGTCTGTCTGTCTCTGTCTCTCTCTCTCTCTCTCCCCAGTTTCTGTCTCTCTCTCTCTCTCCCCCAGTCTTTCTGTCTCTCTCTCTCTCTCTCCCCCGTCTGTCTGTCTCTCTCCCCAGTCAGTCTCTCTCTCTCCCCAATCTGTCTGTCTGTCTCTCTCTCTCTCTCCCAATCTGTCTGTCTGTCTCTCTCTCTCCCCAGTCTGTCTGTCTCTCTCTCTCCCAATCTGTCTGTCTGTCTCTCTCTCTCCCCAGTCTGTCTGTCTCTCTCTCTCCCAATCTGTCTGTCTGTCTCTCTCTCTCCCCCAGTCTGTCAGTGTGTCTGTCAGTCAGTCTGTCTGTCTCTCTCCCCAGTCACTCAGTCTGTCAGTCTGTCTGTCTCTCTCTCCCCAGTCACTCAGTCTGTCTGTCAGTCACTCAGTCTGTCTGTCAGTCACTCAGTCTGTCTGTCAGTCAGTGTGTCTGTCTCTCTCTCTCCCCAGTCAGTCAGTCTGTCTGTCTCTCTCTCCCCAGTCACTGTGTCTGTCTGTCTGTCTCTCTCTCCCCAGTCACTCAGTGTGTCTGTCTGTCAGTGTGTCTGTCTCTATAAGTGACGTCCTCAGGCTCTGTGTATCACTGTCCGGGTCCACCTTAAACCCGTGACGTCACGTTGCCATGGAGACGGTGTTACGCTACAAGGGGAATGAGGTATTAAAGCGGAGCGGAGGGGGCGGGGAGGCCAGTTCAGCACCCAGCTCACCGCGGACAGAGCTCTCTGGCACCGGGACCCTGCGACTCCCCCAGACCGCCACCGACAGAGAGCCCCCCAGCTCGCCCATCACTGCCCAGAGCCGCTGGGAGGGGCCCGGGGGTGAGGACCACCGTGCCAGCCTTACTGCTAACTCAGTGAGTGGGCATCACCCCTGGCACACTCCGACACAGCCAGCCCAGCCGGCCAGGACTGCCACTCCCAGCACTCTCAGACACACAGACACCTGGACAGCCCTAGGTAAGCCTTCACTGGGAGTGGGCATCGCATAGGGGCACCTAGAGCCAGTCTGGGGTACTTTATCACCCACTGCCAGCAATATCAATTACTGGACTCTGTGTATTACTATTATTATTATTATTCAATATAAAGACTGCCACTCCCAGCACTCTCAGACACCTGGACAGCCCTAGGTAAGCCTTCACTGGGAGTGGGCATCACATGGGGGCACCTAGAGCCAGCCTGGGGTACTTTATCACCCACTGCCAGCAATATCAATTACTGGACTCTGTGTATTAATAGTATTATTATTCAATATAAAGACTGCCACTCCCAGCACTCTCAGACACACAGACACCTGGACAGCCCTAGGTAAGCCTTCACTGGGAGTGGGCATCATATGGGGGCACCTAGAGCCAGCCTGGGGTACTTTATCACCCACTGCCAGCAATATCAATTACTGGACTCTGTGTATTAATAGTATTATTCAATATAAAGACTGCCACTCCCAGCACTCTCAGACACACAGACACCTGGACAGCCCTAGGTAAGCCTTCACTGGGAGTGGGCATCACATGGGGGCACCTAGAGCCAGCCTGGGGTACTTTATCACCCACTGCCAGCAGTATCAATTACTGGACTCTGTGTATTAATAGTATTATTATTATTATTCAATATAAAGACTGCCACTCTCAGACACCTGGACAGCCATAGGTAAGCCTTCACTGGCAGTGGGAATCACATGGGGGCACCTAGAGCCAGTCTTGGGGTACTTTATCACCCACTGCCAGCAATATCAATTACTGGACTCTGTGTATTACTATTATTATTATTATTCAATATAAAGACTGCCACTCCCAACACTCTCAGACACCTGGACAGCCATAGGTAAGCCTTCACTGGGAGTGGGCATCGCATAGGGGCACCTAGAGCCAGCCTGGGGTACTTTATCACCCACTGCCAGCAATATCAATTACTGGACTCTGTGTATTAATAGTATTATTATTCAATCTCCCACTGCATGGAACAAGAACAAGTACTATAGGAGCATGTGTGTTTATTATAGAGAGAGAGAGAGAGAGAGAGAGAATAATAATTATATATATATTTATTTATAATTTTGTTATTTACTTAAATAAGCTGTTTCTTACAAGTTATTGTGACTCAATGTTTTAAAGAATAACATCATCATCATGCAACAAAAGGTTAAACCTGTGGGACACAGTATCCACTTATCCCTCTGGCAGGGAAGATGTTAACCCAAGCTTCCTGCCCCATCGCCCCCCTCCCCCCCACCCCCTCCCCTTTAAAATAGCCAGATTGGGCTATGTGATATAATTGTTATATTTATTTTGCTAAACTGATTATTACTTACAGTGTGGTGTTTTGTGTTAACAGACTGGTGTTGTGTTCTGCTGTTCATACTGTGATATTACTGCACTGCAGAGCGTGGATACAACAAAATAAATATAGATAATCCTTGCTCAGGTGTATATTTATTCCCCCCTCCCCTTTAAAGATCACAAACCAATGCATTATTGGCAGTGAAGAGGTTAAACACAGAGAGGCGTAACATGGAAAGTTATCCAATGTTGCCTTGAATGTATATTTTAGACATTATTGAATGGGATGGATTTCAAGTTAAAGGAAAAACTAATGCTGTTTCAGTGTATTGAAGGGTAGTCTTTATCAGTATTGTATTAGTACATTAAACCTTGTCTTATTTCTAAATACAATGCGGGTTTACTCAGTATTGACTTTGTGTCTATGAAAAACAAGTTGTATGACATACTAGGCATACTCTATACTAACTATGAAATGCGTCATGCTTGGATAGAAAACTGACATTGTTAAAGAGCACTCCAGCACATCCTATGGTCCACTAAATCTGACTGTTTCATTAATGAGTTAATGAAAGGTTTATTCACCAAGCAATGAGCGGTGTTGAATTGCTGAATGAATTAAAAAGAAAATTGGCCAAGATAGTAGAGTTTAAAAATAAATTTTTTTTTTTTTTTCAAACCTGTTTATTTTTATAGCCTGTCTATGTGGACCCAAATCTCCAATTTGGCTATTGATTCACCCTCCAACTTTGTTTAGTACCTTGGCATCTTTCTCTTTGTGGTGTTTGGTGTGTTTTTGTCTTTTCAATGGGCAGTATAGAGGGTTTATAAAGTTGTTCCAGTTTTTGATAGAATATTCATTTTAGAAATAAAGTTTTCCCTATTCTTTGGGGATAACAGTGCAGTTATATTTGTATTTTGACTTTTGGCTAGACCTGCTTGCAGACCTTCAGATGGGAAATGTTTCACTGTAGAGACAGCTGTTCTAGCTGGAGATACAAATTGCATAAAATAAGCCATATGATGTATTCAACGGGGATGGCAAATTCCCTATAATTAAACTATATTAATGACTACCTCGAGTTAAACTTAGAGTATCAGTCCTGAAGAATGAGGCAGGGGGGTAGAAATTATATAAACACATTTTGGTTTAATGGTTTAAACAGGAGCTGTGGCAAATTCAAAAGGGAATTTAAAATTTTCCCCAAAAATAAACCAAAGTAGAAAATAGCTGATTTGAATGTTTTTTTTTCCCAATTTTTTTTTTTTTCATAATTCTTATTTCCTTATTTGAATAAGTCCCCCTAATTCGGAATAAACGTGACACTCAATAATACACAATATGGCTTGCAGAGATTCTTGTTACTCTGGAGATTTTTTTTATTCTTTTGAACTGGAGATATTAATTTACATCCTCATTCATGAAATGTGTTTAATATTAGACACGCCTCCAACGCCTTTGGAAATTTTCACATATATTATGAATAAATAGATTATGTCTCCGTTTTCATTTGCTTTTGTGCATACAGCACTGATGTGTTCAAATTTTGTTAAAGGGAAGATGTCTTAACACAAATACATTTGCATCTTTAAATATAATCCAATTATGTCTTTTACTACATGCTATAGCAGTTACTGAAACTATTTTATTCTTGTGTTTCAATCTGTGCTATGGCAACTACTAGAGCTATTTGAGTATTTTTGGTGCTATCAGTAATCTGAAATCAATAAATGGATTGATCTATTAGTCTCTCTGAGTGCAGTCCCTACCAATATTAAAAATACAGGGTCATGCAATAAACTCAGGATAGTTGTATTTTGACCAGAGAATTACAAATTCTCCAAGTCATCTCTTTATACAAATGTAATTTCTGATCACATTCCTGACAATTCTAATTTAAGCTAAAACACTAAAAAACTCTGCCAATTATGAGATTCTTAAGTGCTCTCTACTGCTTAAAGAAACACTCCTTACACCTAAGCTCTTTAGCTTGCTGATATGCTTTATGTGAGAAGAAGTACATATTTCAATAGAAATATTAGAAAAAATTAAGCTTGTTACAGCCCCTGGTTGTCAATCAGACAACCAGTCGTGTTACTTCCTGGTTGTTTAGCTCAATGAAGCTAAACTCAAGATGTAATAATTGCCCAGAGCACCTGTCTAGTGAAGACTTCTTATTGGGCTGCATTGGTGAATCTGTGATTAGACAGCCACAGCAATTCTGGGCTTAGTAGAGGAGGGCTTGCAATGAACATAGACATGCATAATTAAATTCAAGCAAGTTTTAAGTTGGGTATATCTGCTAAATAGTGATTACATTATTATTATTTATTTTTTTTGTATTTGGGCACTGGAGTGTCTATTTCAGACTGAACTAAATAAGAATATCTACAGTTTTATTACATTTGTAGAAACAATAAAGTCCAACAGAGAGTTGGAATTGACAAAGCTTAATTCGATAAGTTGAAAATACTTTGGACTAATAACACCTAGTCTTTGAAAACACGTATAATAACAAGGATTGGCAGATCAAAATGAGTTCGCCACTTGGGGAGATGGAACATCTTGAGCCAGATTTAAATGGGAGCATCGAAGGAAAGCAGTTGTGTAGTGTGAGTGGACGACAAGGAACAATGGACGAAGAAGACTTCATGTAGAGTGGCTGGACAACATGAAGCAATGGGTTAGCAGCAGGAACATTCATGATCTGGAAGAGGCAAGAAAAATTTGCAAGGTGTTTCGAAAATGTTCCCATTGACGATGTGCCGTATGTAGAACAAAGCAGCTATGATAGTTTCACTTTCAATACAAGTTCCAGAAAGCCCTGCTTACTCATTTTAGATGGAAATCAATGGCAAGCCCGATGCGCATGCGTTTTCGGCCACAGGTGAAATACCATTTAATAAAAGCATTTATGAGAAATACTTGCTACAGGGTCCAGTAGCCGCCGGTGCATTCCATTCAGTTACTTTAGAGGTTCTCCCTTATCTTTTATTCCTATGATATTGCCCACGGGTGAATTTCACAAAGAAGAGTGACAATAAAGGGATGCCTACAACAAATGAGTGGATGTGCTTGTGAGTGACACCATACACACGTGCGCGCTCGTTAACTCACTGATTCTACCATACAAAGCTAGGGGAGGCAGTGCTTTAACTGAGAGTTCACAACTTGGTCCTGCAGGTACATAGGAATCCATTGAAGCCTGCAAAATAAGGACACTGAGATATAAGTAGCTTTTATAGGTTGCATGTTCATTGATACTGCATTATTTGTGTAATGCATTAACAAAACAGCAGTTTGTCCATGCTGAAGTGCTCATTTCAAAGATCTAGACTAGAGAATAAGGGCAAAAGAGCAGCAAAGATTTTAAATAATGTTAGAAGGAATTATAGGCCTTCATTTGTTAGTGGACTGCAACTCACATAAACCCTAGCTAGGCAGGTGCCCAAACTGTTTAACAGGCGTTAAATTAGCTACAAAGTCTATGGGTGGGATATACTCATCAAACAGTGAGCTGGTAAAATTTGAACACCAGTGTTGACGAATCTGTAGCAAAACAGTCAAGTGGGAAAAATACAGGATTTATTCACGTTTTATTTATTTATTTATTTATGTGTTTGTTTAAAAAATAGTAAAACTGTGCATATAGTTAATTTGGAGAATGGTTCCAAATAAGCTGTGTGACTCGAAGTGTGTTATAAATGCTTGTGATTGTGCATTTATCTCGGACAGAAATATTGTTCCAGAGGTATTCTTCCTCTATCAATTTGCTCCTCACGTGGAAATATTGAACAGAGGAAAATTAAAGGCATCTCCTTTGCTCACTGATCACCAGACTGCGGTGAACAGAACACTGAATTTGTGCAAAATGTGCTTATTTGAACGATTTCTCCAAAGGCTGTTGTTGTGATTCATTGTGTATTTCAGTTTTCAATTCACTGCAAGTCACTGTTTAGTGAATCAACCCCATCCTTTTATTGCTGTGATTTTTGGACCTATCTCTGGTAAAAAGACTTCAGGGCCATTCCTTCTCAAGGGCCATATTAATAATTCAGAGAATTGACCTTCCATGCCTTGCTTCATGTGGGGTATCTTCACACTATGCCCCCATAATCCAATCCTAAACCAGTACAGCATCTAAATGTGGGTATAGCTAATTCATTGAAATTGGATGACAAAAATATAAACTGAGGCACCTTGCATAATGTATAACAAAATAGACGAGTTGGGAAAAAATATATAAATATTAGTTGAGGTTTTATAAAGCTCACTTATTGCAAATTACCCTTAGATACATTCACCAAATTGTGAATAGTCAAGAATTCAAAGTGAATTCAAAGTGTATTTCACATTTTAGACCCAGCAGTGCAGCGCTGTACAATTGGGAAAACAATACAATATAAATGGACCGATACAAAAGGTAGATGGCCCTGCCTTTGAGCTTACAATCTAAAGGTAAAATCGGGAAATGAGACAAGAGGTAGCAGGGGAATTTGCAAGTGATGGCAGAGAGAGTTTATAAAGTGACTGCAGGGATGATAACATGTGAAGGTAATGAGAAGGATGATTGACTATGGTTTGAAACAGCTGGAGGAGTCATGATATATAGTTAGAAGGAACCAGGGTGGGTGGGTTTGTTTCTAAACCGGTGAAACGGTCCAATCAGAGGCTTCACTATAAGAAGCTTGTGTTTGGATTGCGCAAGGGCTTCCATGACATCGGACAGAAGAGGAAGTTCAGCATCGCTAGACGCTTTAATTGCAGGATTAGTTTTAAACCTTTTTACAAGTTTTAAGGGGGCGGGAACAGACCTAATAGCAATGCCCCATAGGGCCTTATAAATTAAAAAATATATAGTTTTAAAATGGGTTGGAGTAACCCTATAAGTTCTTCAGGCAAACTCACACCCTTTATGGGTAGCCCCCCGCTGGGTGGTACTATTGAGGCGTTTCACATCACTGGCCTGCACTACCGCCTACAGGGGGTCCGCTTCACAGGACACCATTGTCGAGGGGTGTGACCTGAGAGTGTTTTTTTTTTTTATTGTGAGTAAGCTATAAAATAAATACTTTAATGCTTACAAACATTCGAAACATAAAAATTCCTTACTAACCTCTCATCTTTATGAACTAACTGGAATTAACCTCCAGTCCTTACAATAATCCTATAACGCGAGAATGGCTTCTTGAATATATATTTAAACTCTTGGTGAGAATTGCTTGTCATGTTTTTTACCCATGGGTAAAAAAAATAATTACGCCAGTGAAAAAAAATTTGTGCAACCTTCATATGTATGTTACGGCTTTGCTCTTTAATCCGTAATTTTCCTATGGGAGCTAACAGTTATTTTGTACTATAATTATAGCAATAAGAAATTCTTTAGAATTCATGTTGAAAACATGTAATGTTCTTAATGGGATTAATGATCTTCTGTGCAAGTGCCACAGGGCTGAATAAGTTGCTGTGTGTCATTCAAGTGCTGGAGGCAACTGTTACCAAAACTACCCATTTAATGAACAGAAATATATATATATATCACAAATAATTACTGCTTCTAACTAGCTTTATTCTTATACTTTGGGCTTTGTCCCTGCTCACTTTGTTCTCAGACTCTGCAAGGAGACTCACCTTGCCCAATTGCGAGCCTTCATTACCTTTTTTCTTCCCTTCCCTTCTCATAGCCACTTGGATCTGGGACTTTGAAATGGATTTTATTTTTTTTGTATTTTTTGTGATTTTTAACTAGGATTTTCTCTAGATTACAAGTTACTTATGAGACTTTTTTTGTACCATGTTGCTTATTATTTAATAATCCACCTTGTGGAGATGATTTAGAGCATACTGATTACTAAGTGCTGTTCTAGTTTGGAATTGTGATGAACACGTCTTGGTTCCCCTTTTTACCCTTTCACATCCTTCTGCTTACGTTAGATCCTGGTTATTTGCAAGACCACCAGACAAGCCCACCAAATAAAAAATAGCTGTCCCTTTTATTTGAATGTATACATGTTTCATGTATGTATGACTAGACCCAAGTGATTTCTCTCTGTACCCTTGGGTAGCAGAAACATTGCATGTGTTACTTGTGCAAATACTCAGAGTGACATCTATCAATCAGAATCTGCCTACAGACAGTCGTGCTGCCATCTAGTGGAACAAGGGTGCATGCCTAGCCATCTATTAATACAGTGGTTCTCAACCCAGTTCTCAAGTACCCCCTAACAGTTCAGGATTTGTGGACTTCCCAGTTCAGTCTAAGGTGTTTTTAGAAAAGAAAAGGAAAACACACTTTAAAAACACAACAGGATAATCCCTAAATCCTGGACTGGTAGGGGGTACTTGAGGACTGGGTTGCGAACCCCTGTTAATTAATAGATAATAGAGAGAGATACACACTTGTAATATAAACACAGGTCTACATATAAATAAGAACCTTATCATTGGTCATAGATATATCTAGTGTAAATCACATGTATTTAAGGGGAAATGGATAAATGTATGTTTTTTTGTCTTGACTTGGGCCCACATTGACAATGTGTATTATCCACAGTGAGTCTTGGCTTTTTATATTTCCCAGATGAAACGATCATGTAATTAGAACTGAGCCTCCGGGTGAAATGCATTAGACTCAGTGGTCATCCATCTATCTGTATGGGTCAGAAGATGACTCACAGATAAATGAATGTACTCACAGCCACTCTCCAGACATTCTCATTTCTGGCTGTGATAGAGAGGAAATGGAAGGCATAGAATTTTTCAGTAGAATTGTGTTTGATGCTACAATCAGGAAACAACTCCCATCATTCCCAGGCAGTAGCACTCCAGCATAGACAATCAATAACTTCAGCTTTGCTCTGAGATGAGTTGCAGTCTGTAGTGGCTGAAATGCCAGAAAGTGCCACTTGTGATGCTGGGAGCTATTGGTTCTATACTACATATATAAATGACAGTGTATATGATGAAAGGTGGAGGGTGGGTTTGTTTGGGACTACCTCCCGCCAGGCCAAATAGCCAACTCTCCCCTGGTGGCAGGGATTGCTGGCTTACAACTCACATGATGATTAGCCAGCCTGTAAGATACCTGAACAGTTAGGAGGCCTGATGTTTGACCATGTATAAATATTAATACATAGGCATCAGGATCACTCTGAGTGAAGTTAATAAAAAATCCTTTTAAAAAAAAAACCCAATTAAGATGATCTGTGGTTGTAATTCATGAGAATTTAATGAATGAAACACACAGCACTTTGAGGTTGATTAGTCCTGGCTCCGGCATGCTCTGTGTATGTTTACACCAAATCAGATTAATCTTACTATAGCATATTGCCTTCAATGTGAAAAATTCATTAATGAGATTTTCTTTATGTTGACATGAAATAAATAGTCACTATATAATGTGACCACGTTGAAAATGCCACGGTGCTGTTATAGCACCATTATAATGTCAAACCTCAAGGTAAACAGCTGTACTTGGTGTTATAATGACCCGGAGTACAGAAGTGTGTCCCATTATTAATTTCCCATATTGCAGTGTGGCTATAGAGCAGTGATGGCGAACCTTTTTGAGCCCGAGTGCCCAAACCGCAATACATGCCAACTTTTTTCTCCTTAAAGTGCCAACACGGCAATTAAACCCAAATACTGAGGTTTAAGTTTAGAAAAAACAACTCGTACTGTTGTCCGAACTAATAACTTTTGTTTTAAAAGAACACAGAGAGTTCAATGATACAAATTTTAAATAATGATATAAATAGATAAAATTAAGCTTATATTTATTAGTATCTCCAACAAATGCAATACATACACACAGACGACTGCTGAATACAGAGACTGATGAATACACACAGTCTGCTGAATACACATACAGACAGACTGCTGAGTACACACACACACACACACACACACACACTGCTGAGTACACACACACACACACACACGCAGACTGCTGAGTACACACACACACAGACTGCTGAGTACAAACACACAGACTGCTGAATACACGCACAAACACAAAATGCTGAATACACGCGCGTGCACACACACACACTGCTGAATACACACATAATGCATTGAGGTGGGGGGTGCTGTGTGTGGGGGGGTGCTTGTGTGGGGGGTGCGTGTGTGTGTGAGTGTTGTATGTGAGGGGTGCTGTGTGCTGTATGTGTAAGGGTGCTGCGGGGGGTAGGGGTACTGCTGGGGGGTGAGAATTTGCTATTGTGTGGGGGTAGGGTACTGTGTGTGGGGTAGGGGTACTGCTGGGGGGTGAGGTACTGTGTGTGGGGGGGGTAGGGGTGCAGCTGGGGGGAGTACCAGGGGTACTGTGTGTGTGTGTAGGGGGTAGGGGTGTGCACTGTGTGTGGGGGTAGGGGTACTGTGTGTGTGGGGGGGTAGGGACCACTGCTGGGAGGAGTAGGGGGCCTGGGGAGGGTGCACTGTATGTGGGGGGTAGGGGGTACTGCTGGGAGGGTAGGGGTACTGTATGTGGGGAGGGTACTGTGTGTGTGTGGGGGGTAGGGGTACTGTGTGTGTGGAATTCTAGGGGTGCTGTGTGTGGGGGGTAGGAGTGTGGCTGGGGGGGTAGGAGTACTGGCTGGGGGGTAGGAGTGCTGCTGGGGGGGGTAGGGTCTGCTGGGAGGTGGGAGTGCTATGGGAGTTGGGGTACTGTGTGTGGGGGGCCGAGGGGTACTGCTGGGGTAGGGAGGTGTGCTGGGGGAATGTGGGGGGTACTGCTGGGGAGTGATAGGGGTACTGCTGGGAGATTAGGAGTACTGCTGTGGGGGGTAGGGGTACTGTGTGTGGTAGGGGTACTGCTGGGGAATGTAGGGGTGTGCACTGCTGGGGGGCATAGGTGCCTGCTGGGGAGATTAGGGTACTGCTGTGGGGGTGGGGGTACTGTGTGTGGGGGTTAGGGGTACTGCTGGGAATGTGGGGGTACTGCTGTGGGGGTGGGAGTACTGCTGAGAGTGGGGGTGCTGCGTGGGGAGGGTGCTGCTGGGGTTAGGGGTGCTGCTGGGAGATGGAGGTGCTGCTGGGGATAGGGGTACTGTGTGGGGGGATGGGGGAACTGCTGGGGGCGGGGTGCAGGGGGTAGGGTACTTCTGGGAGGTGGGGTGCTGTGTGTAATATACCCCCACCTCCCTCCTTCTTACCTTTAATGAAGTGGGGGGGGGGGGCACAGCCATCCCTGGTGGTCCGGTGGTGGTAAGCACTGCAGGGGGAGGGCTCTAGGAAGCTGCTCCCCTGTCCTCCCGCGCAATGCTGTGTGGAGCGTTGCCATGGCAACGCTCCACACAGCATCGCGCGGGAGGACAGGGGAGCTGCATCACAGAGCCTTCCCCCTGCCTCCCGACCCGGAAGCAGAGTAGGCGCCTGCCGTTTCGGGCAGGCAGGCGCCTACTCTGCAGTGATGGCGAACCTGTGGCCGCGTGCCCACAGAAAGGGCCCGGCATGCCACCAGTGGCACGCGTGCCATAGGTTCGCCATCACTGCTATAGAGGCTTAGGTTTAGGGCTGAAACTAATGGTTTTACATTCCACAGCATCTTAAAGGGACACTCCAGACCCCAAGTTTAGCTTCAGTGGAGCTAAACTTAAGAGACAGTCAATTGCTCAGAGCTCCTGCCTTGTAAACACTTCTCATTGAGCTGCATTGGGAAGTCTGTGATTGGACAGCCACAGAAAGTCTGGGCAGGGAGGTTTGCAAAGGCTGCAGACAAGAGATCTGCAGCCTTTTCCAGCTGTTTTTAGATATACCCATTGTGAAAAATGATATACTTAAATGCATGCATGTTTTCATTGGAGTCTATCTACTAATTTGTAATTTTTATATTTTTGTATTTGGGCAGTGGTGACCATTTAAAGTCAGATAATCCCAAACCATAAATTTACCCAAACTATAAAGACACTCTAACCATAATCACTGACATTTAAAATGTACAATTTCAGTTATAATGCTTTATTTGCATCATTCATGATGGCCAAAAATGGAGGGGTTTACACACTAGCGCCTTCATTTAATATGTAATTTAATATGTAACTTAGAAACAAACACAATAAAAAAAGAACACTCATATTTTTTAATAGCGTATTCATATTAAAATCTCAGAAGTAACGCATCTGGTTTGATGTTGGCCACCGTGGTAATATAACATGTCTCGCAATGTAAATTAAGCCTTGTGTTTGTGTATAAACAGTGGATTGCATTCTAGAAATGTTTTGCAACACACAGGGTAGGGGTATTAATTACAGTAAAATCGGATATCCTTCCTGTAAATGATAAACAACATCTCTTTGACCATCTGACGGTAACAGTGAGCTCTATTCAAGTCGTTGAAGTGTGAAATTACAGGAGCATTTTTTACAGCCTTTCATTAAGCAAGCACTGGGGGTTATGTAAAAAGAGCCAGGGGCATATTTAATGTGGGCTGACGTGTAATAGAGAAACTGGCAAAGGCAAAATTATAGACAATGAACCAATGTAATGCTACCTGTAAATGAGCAATTTTTAATCACACATCGACCGATAAATATTTGATTCGCTAAATCCGATGAGACAGGATAAAGTGAAGGCGATTTAAATACACAATGTTATTGCAAGCATCTGCAAAAGTATGTCAGATCCATAACAGAAATCTCAGTTCTTCTCAGGCTGTATAGCCAACCATTTACAACAACAGCAGTAATCAAATTTCCCTCGCTCAAACTTTGTGAAATGGCGCTTCCAATTCTATGAGCATTGACGTTTATGAAAAACCTCAAATAGGAAACTTTTGCCCGGAGCACCAGCAATCATTTATCAGCCCCGACTTGTCATTGGTTAGCTGTAAAGGCAGCCAATCACAATCCAGGAGAGAACTACCCCGATGAAGAATAGTTCCATAAGTGTACCTAACTCACTTTTTTGACCTTCTGGTGAGTGAGCTGAAGGGTTGGATTTAATTGTTTTCTACTTTTGAATTACTCCTTTTTAAATGGGGAATGTCGGAAATGTTTACCACATGGCCCAAGTAGCAATTTAAACTGAGGGATGGAGGGTTTATTTATTCTTTGTGGTACTGCGTCTCACTCCATCCTGTATTACAATGTGGTTCTAGATGTCCCAGCTACATTTACTTTAGGAAGAGGTGACCATTTAGGAGTTGGCAACGGTGGTTTGATATTGGGCCATATTGATTCTGGCACTTAATCTAGAGTTGGAATAAAAACCAATGGAATGTTTGTTGATTGAACCATATTTTACTTATTTTGCCCCAGAATTGCTTCTTCAAGATAACTGTCACGGAGTAGGGCTATACCATTCATTAATTTTTAGCCACCAATTAGCCAGGCATAGGTTAAATTTCCTTGCAGTAAACTAAAATATTTTAGCAAGATGCCACCCACTCATTCATGCCCTTTCTTTCTCACATCCAGATTTTCAAAAATGTGTGTGTTTTTTTTTACCTAAAACAAGTATTGTGCAACCAGCACACTTTCCTTAATTTTTTTACCCCCAGTGAAGAGTTGTGAGTAAAGATATGTCTCTTTCCAATGTGGTAGATTTCAAAATATGTTTATAGTGAAAATAAAATAAATATAATGAGAATTTTATGCCCCTTTTTTCATATATATAACACATCACTAATATACATAAAATTAGACCGTCAACGTGTTTGCCTTTAGATTGAAGGTTTTATTTGAACAATACCAAGCCTGCTTTTTTGTCTGTGGTATATAAGCTTGATTGTTGTTTTGCCGATGTCCAGATGTACAGAAAAGGATAAAATGACAATTTAACAATGAATATAATTACTCTGGATTTCCCGTATGACAATGTATAGCCAGTAGGGGGTGAACTGTACAGGAAGTACTGCATGTCACAGTTACAGTTATTATGAATTATTATGAGATTCACTTAAATTCGTGAACAGCGTAACAATCACGGTATGTTTATTTGAAATTCTTGTGGTATATGCTTGTTAAGGTTTGTTAGAAGTGTGAAATCCTCAGCAAACCATACTATACTATATAGACACTTGTTATATGCTCTGTGGAATTAAAATGATCGTTCAAGTACCATAACTACTACAGTACCTTGTAGTGGTTATGATACCAAAAGTTCTATGGTAAGTAGTCAAACTGTTTTTAAACAATTACTTGGATTATCCAGACTCCTCTGGTCCGGCCTACTCTTCTGATATCGTTAAAGTGTAACTTCCTTCTTCTGTGTTAGTGAGATGAGAATATGTTTGGAGGGAATTCATCGGCGAATGTTTTCAGCCAATGAATAACACATTACTACAAACCCAAAGCCATGTGTACACAGGGTTGGTAATGAAAATAGTTCCTTTAAAACACTGTTTTGTATAATTGTACATAATGAATGAAGTACATCCCAGTACGTTTGTTGAACAGGATGATTCAATGTTGTAATAAAAAAGCCAATGTTGCAGTAAGAACTTTGGGCTGCTATCTGCTCTGCGTTCATTTAGGGACTGCCAAGTACTATATATTTCTACTCACAGTTGAATCTTGCTTGTATTCCCTATTTTTGCTTTACAAACATAGAAGTAGAATTGTCAGATTTTTCTGTTTTGTATACATACCTGGCCGAAGGATGGGTTTTACAACGTTAAATTGTAATATCAGGTATTTTAGAAGCTAAAAATAGCTATTTTCAAAGATTAGCTTCCAGGGCAATTTGGCTTACTGATCATTATAACAGTATGGAGCAGTAGGAGTTGTCTTAGAGAATAACTTGCTATTTTTTAGCCCTGCTAAAGAATAGCACTAACATATACAGAGGCTCATTGGTCGGTGAATCAAGTTTACCGACCTCTAAGGCAAAGTATGCAGGTGTTCTTTTGGTCGGGGCTGGGGGGGGGAAGACGTTTAATTTTTCTTGCAATTATCGTCTTATTTATATAGCGCCGACATACCCCACAGCCTAATGAGAATTCCGTAGCTTTTGTATTGTAAATGTTTCCGATACTTATTACTTGTGTTGTAAAAATGGTAATGCAGCAAAATAGCTCTGTATATTTTAAACAAGCACTTCTGAATAATACATGTAATGTTAAAATGCATCTAGCAGAATGGGTAACAATAGAGGAAGGCTGTTTATCCATTTATAATGCATAAAGCAATAGAAAGATTACTAGCTTAACATTTCCAAAAACTATCTTGAAGCAAAGGAAATACATACGAAATATTTCATTCTCCCCTGTCTAGGGAATAAAGCAGCAAGTATTAAAGAAGTGCCAAAGTTAAACACTGTGGGCAGGAAAATCAATATTGCCAGTTAAATGTCACAAGGAAGACACAGCTTTAGAGAAACTGACAGCCAGGGGTCTTGTAAAAGTCTTGTAAAAGAGAGGCGAGTTTGCAAGCCGGGTCTTGTAGGTGTGGATGTACATTAATACTTCATACACATTGCTTCTTTAAATTGTTTGAATAAATCCACATAAATACAATCTGTTTCTTTATTGGAGACTGGAGATAAGACAGAGCAGAACTTATCTAACGCAGAGATATTTTTTGTCAGTTTGCTACTGTATTGAAATATAAAACACAAACAAAAGATGGCGAAAGGAGAAGCATCACCTAACGGTTTGCTTTAATTTGTATAATCATAAACTGGGACATGAGGGGTTGTGGTCAGTGAGGGTTTAGGGACTTTATGGTTCTGGGCTTAAAATGAGTCTAAAACTATCCCCATGTGCATTAATAAACTGGAAATTGCACAGACAGGCAGTGCTACAGAGAGATTTGCTGAGAAAGCAAAGGGTAAAAGGGATCACAGCCCATGCTATAGGTCATGGGGCGCAGGTAATCCATCTTAGGGTACACGGGGCACAGGGAATCCATCCCACGGGTTGTGGGGCACAGGGAATCCATCTTAGGGTACACGGGGCACAGGGAATCCATCCCACGGGTTGTGGGGCACAGGGAATCCATCTTAGGGTACACGGGGCACAGGGAATCCATCCCACGGGTTGTGGGGCACAGGGAATCCATCTTAGGGTACACAGGGCACAGGGAATCCATCCTATGGGTTGTGGGGCACAGGGAATCCATCTTAGGGTACACAGGGCACAGGGAATCCATCCTATGGGTTGTGGGGCACAGGGAATCCATCTTAGGGTACACGGGGCAGAGGGAATCCATCCTATTAGTCATGGGGTGTTGGTAATCAATCTTAAGGTATACATGGCACAGGGAATCCACCCTATGGTTCATGGAGCACATGTAGTTCACCATATAGTACATGAGGCACAGGGAACCATCCTTTGGGTTATGGGGCACTTGGAATCCATCCCGTGGGTCAGCAAGTACAAGGATCCTATGGATATTGGTGCACAGAAGGTCTCTATTCAATGAGTGTGGGGAAGAGATAGATCTGTTCTGTGTGAGATGAGCCTAGGGAACATTTGTGTCCATCAGTTAATGAAGGCATAGATCAGCTACAGAGCAGTATATACAGTGCCCGAGCTACCTTTAGTACTTTAAGTGTTTCCCATGATACTGAACCAGGTCTTGGAAGATTTCAGTGCATTTTAAATCAAACAGAATGAGCATGGAATCTATATTTTTATGGGCAGCAGCACGTCACAAAAACCATTAGGCAGCTTGGGCCCATTGCAATACATGGGCCTGGAGCTTCAGCTCCATTAGTCCCTATGTTAATTTGGCGCGGGAAAGAGATGGACCTTACATCACTGAGAGATTTACTGTCATGAAACCTGTCAGCTTTGTGAACAGGCACTTGACTCTTGTCACAGTTTGGTTGTGTTAGCCTGGATATTACAATTATGTAAAATGAGCTATTACATTCAAATATCTTTGCTATAAATGATTAGATTTAGCTATTTATATTTTACCAAACTACATTTTCATCTGTCTACAACTCACTATTTAGCAAATAAACCCTTTGGATGAGCAATATAAAGCCAATACCCATTAATGCTTAAAATGTCTTGTTTTTATTTCCTGTTTCTCTAGGTGGCTTTTGTTTGTAAGTGTCATGATAAGGAATTCTCTTTCCTCTGAAAGATCAAATGAGTCATCTGACTAACAAGCCTGCCATTAGACTACGTGCAGCAAAACTCTTCACTGTAAGTACCCGTTCTTAATATAAACAGCATTTTAAAGAAAAAAAAGAGATGTTTTTAGTTGCAGCTTATGTGCATTTACCTTAGGATTCTTTAAACCTTTTGTATCTTTGTCATCGAAAAAAAGCATTTGCTTTGCAGGTGCAGGCAACCTCTTATATTCAAGGTCTATGTGGACATATTCAAGGAACATATTGCTAGTTAAAATTGTTATTAATTTCCATCTCAACAGTGTATGTGCTCAGCATTAGTATTTAAAGTCCTAGGTACCGTCTTCAGTGCTACAGTATTGCTCATCACCTGGCAGAGAAACAAATTTCTCTGCCAGGGCTCTGTGACAGCAGAGCAGCAGATTGTAGACCACAATAGACAAATACTTCTGTGAATAAACCTCAAGCAAAATTCTCCAGATCCGCTGCATTTTCATTTTGATTACTTTGACCTACACCTTTACATTCTGTTTCAGTTCTCTGAGACACTACGGGACACTGAGACACTAGGGGACACTGAGACACTAAGGGACACAGAGACATGGGGACACTGGGTGACTTTGAGACCTGGGAGACATGGGGCACTCCCAGTGTCCCCTTGTCTCCCAGCCAGTGTCCCTAGTATCTCCGTATCTCCATGTCTCCTAGTGTCCCTGGTGTCTCTCAATGTCCGTAGTGTGCCAGTGTTCCTAGTGTCTCAGTGTTTTCTAGTCTACCAAAGTCCCCCAGTCTGCCAGTGTCTCAGTGTCCCAATGTCTCCCAGTGTCCCCATGTCTCCTAGTGTCTCAGTGTCCCCTAGTATAAAAGAAAAAATATCAGGCACTCAACGTTTCGACCTGTCTTCAGTGTCACCTATGTATCACAGTGTCCCCTATGTATCAGAGTGTCTCAGTGCCCCATGTCTCCCAGTGTCCCTGGTGTCTCTCAGTGTCCGTAGTGTCTCAGTGTCCCCTAGTCTCTCAGAATCCCCTAGTCTCTCAGTGTCCCCATGTCTCACAGTGCCCCCAAGTGTCTCAGTGTCCCCTAGTATAGAAGAACAAAAAATCTCAGGTACTCACTGTGATAGATTTAAGCAGGTTTATTGGACACCACAACGTTTTGACCTGTACCCAGGTCTTTATCAAGTCTCCAGTGTCCCCTATTTATCATAGTGTCCCCTATGTATCACAGTTTCTCAGTGCCCTATGTCTGCCATGTCCCTTCGTGTCCCAAAGTCAACCAGTGTCCCCATTTCTCCATGTCTCCCATTGTCCCCAAGAGTCGGTGTCCCCAGGACTCTCAGTGTTCCCTAGTATCTCAGTGTCCCCATGTCTCCCAGTGTCCCAATGTCTCTCAATGTCCCCTAGTGTCCTAGTGACATGGGGACACAGACCCTCTCTTGGTTCCAAACTAACCTTATTGATAAACATAACAAACCAAAACAAAGTTTCTAGTTGCACCTTTAGGCATGAGACATTAAAGAATCACTATAGACACCCAGTCAACATCATCTCATTGTCCCTGTCCCTCTTAGTCCCGCAATGTAAAACATTGCAGTTTTAGAGAAATGCTATATTTAAATTTCAGGGTCTACCAGACATCCACTGGAGGCGCTTCCTGCACTTTCACAGAAATGACGCTGGATGTCCTCATGTTTTGCCTCATTGATGCAATGCTTTCCAAATTTAAGACCAAAATAGGTGAACTGGAAAAATTCTCCAAGACATCCATGCTTCCAGTATCGCTACTTTGGCCTTAAATTCTAAATTCTCTTTGAATTCACATTAAATTCTTGATAATTCTAACTTCCCCTGAGGATCACATTCATGAAACTCCAGCCAATTCTCTGGAAAAGTAGTTTACTGTAACTGCTTTAATACTGTGAAGAGTCTAATTAAAGGACCACTATAGTGCCAGGAAAACATACTCGTTTTCCTGGCACTATAGTGCCCTGAGGGTGCCCCCACCCTCAGGGTCCCCCTCCCGCCCGGCTCTGGAAGGGGAAAGGGGTAAAAACTTACCTTTTTCCAGCGCTGGGCGGAGAGCTCTCCTCCTCCTCTCCGCCTCCGTTACGCCCCGCCGGCTGAATGCGCACGCGCGGCAAGAGCTGCGCGCGCATTCAGCCGGTCTCATAGGAAAGCATTTACAATGCTTTCCTATGGACGCTGGCGTGCTCTCACTGTGAAAATCACAGTGAGAAGCACGCAAGCGCCTCTAGTAGCTGTCAATGAGACAGCCACTAGAGGCTTTGGGGGAAGGCTTAACCCATTCATAATTATAGCAGTTTCTCTGAAACTGCTATAATTATGAAAAAATGGGTTAACCCTAGAAGGACCTGGCACCCAGACCACTTCATTAAGCTGAAGTGGTCTGGGTGCCTAGAGTGGTCCTTTAAGGTATTTAGCAAAATAAATTTTACATAATTTAGGTCCATGACGAACCAACCCAGTAATGGGGTATATATGAATCAGACACAAGTAAAGCAATCCAGGGTAAGTCTCTTAACTCAAAATTTTGGCTAAAATAGCTGATTTTGAAAAATTCTCCAACTCGTCATTCAATTAAATGTGCTAAAATTCTTAGTAAATATCCTTGGATAATTATAAAAAGAAGCTGTAAAAAATCCAATCGTGAACATTTTTTTTTATCAAGACAACAAATATAAATGTATTACCTTGAAAATAGTGACTACAATACACATTACTGTGTAAATGGTGAGATCAGTAAGCATGCTAAAATGGGTGTATTATAAAACTCACAAACAACTCTGCAAAAAATAGCAATTACTAGCGTTTATTTATTAGTACGTCTGCCAGAGTGGTGGGTTTTCAGTTTAGTTTGTCTGTACACATACTGTCCATTTAACCCCTTCAGGACGGAGTCAATAGTGCACATTCTGATCAAAACAAAACGTAAACAAAAACTGGAATTTGCGCTACATGTCTGTTCAACCGTAATTCACCGCTGTCACATTAAGTGCACCCACACTTATTATATATCATTTTGTTAAGGAGAAACAGGGCTTTAATTTATCATTAACTATTCATATATGGAACATAATTTATCATGAATAAAATGTAAAAGAATTTGAGAAAATAAGATTTTTTTTAAAATTTGTATTTCCGTCTGACATTTTAGCTGTGAATGTCATAATACTGTTAGGTTTTACTTCAAAACAATGCACATATTTGGAATCAGCGATGTCTCACGAGTACAACAGTACCCCCCATTACCAGGTTTTATGGTGTTTTGGAAAGTTACAGGGTCAAATATAGAACGTTCCATTTTCAAATTGAAATTTGCCAGATTAGTAATGTTACCTTTGAGACCGTGTGGTAGCCCAGGAATGAGAATTACCCCCATAATGGCATACCATTTGAAAAAGTAGACAACCCAAGGTATTGAAAGTGGGGTATGTTTAGTCTTTTTTAGTAGCCACTTAGTTACAAACACTGGCCAAAGTTAGCATTCATATTTGTTTTTGTGTGAAAAAAAGCAAAAAAAAATAATATTTTGCCAGTGTTTGTGACTAAGTGGCTACTAAAAAAGACTGGACATACCCCATTTGCAATACCTTGGGTTGTCTACTTTTGCAAATAGTATGCCGTCATGGGGGTAATTCTCATTCCTGGGCTACCATACACTCTCAAAGGCAACATAACCAATCTGGCAAATTTCAATGTCAAAAAAATGAAATGCAAGCCTTATATGTGACTCTCTAACTTTCCAAAACACCATAAAACCTGTACATGGGGGTACCCTTATTCTCAGGAGACTTCACTAAACACAAATATTAGTGTTTTAAAACAGTAAAACATATTACAACAATAATATAGTCCATAAAAGTGCTGTTCGTTTGTAAAAAATGCACAAAACTTCACTTTTACTTAAAATATCATCGTAGTAATACAATTTACCAGTTTGAAACACTAATATTTGAGTTCAGCGAAGTCTCCTGAGTAAAACAGTACCCCCTATGTACAGGTGTTATGGTGTCTTGGAGAGTTACAGGGTCAAATATAGTGCTTGTGAATTAAATTCTCTGCACTTTCTCCCTGTGTTGTCAGGCATTTCAATCAAATTTTAATTAATCAAATCACATAATTATGTTAAAAGATTACTTAAATATACATGTAGAATTTTAATATATATGCATTTATAGGTATTTAAATTCTATGTGTCTACTAATGTAATCTTTTATGTAATTATATGTATTTATCTATATATATTTATTTGCGGTTATTTGTATTTTATATATAGATAGATATATATATATAGAATGTCATTCTAAGTATATTTTGTTGCCAATATATATATATATATATATATATATATATATATATATATATATATTAATAACAAAATACAGTTAGAATGAAATTACATTTGAATATATAATTTATATAAAATTTTGTTTCAATATTTTATTTATTTATTTTATTATTTTATTTATTCAGTATTGTAATTATACGTATATATATATATATATATATATATATATATATAATATGTGTATATATCTATTATATATAATATATATACATATTATATATATATGTAACTTCATTCTAAGTGTATTTTAATACTAATATATGTACTTATATTAATATTAAAATACACTTTGTATGACGTTACATATATTACATTTATTTTTAAACATGTTGAATTAATTTTTTTTTACTTTCCCACCAGCAGGGGGACTGTCTGACATTTTAGACAGTCCCCCTGCTGGCAGATCCACAGCCAACTATAGGGGGCCATGTGATCGCTCTTTGAGCCCCCGGGGGCCTCATTTGCCTCATTTTACAAGGGAGGTCTGAAGAAGGAGCAAGTCCGTCCTACACTATGCTGCGTTACCACTCGCATAGTGAAGGATCAGATCGAGAGGAAATAGCAAGTTGTTTTGGCAGCAGTGCAGGCTGTGCAGCACGCCAGACCTCCAGGGGCTCAAAGCCGTTACGGCGTTCTATGCCGCCGCAACGGCTTTAAAGCCCACTTAATGCGGGATGGCATAGAACGCCGTAACAGTGTTAACAGGTTAAATAAACAGATTTTAACATAGGCGTGCGCAGCCTATTGCATTAGGGTGTGCACCCTAAAGCACAAACACACACGTCGCGTGTATGTGTATATATATACACACACACACACAAACATCTCATTTAGCTAAAATAATTAGTAAACTTCCCTGGGAGAAATTATCATTATTATCTGCATTTTCTTAAGTTTTATTCTTATCTCTTAAACTTAGCTTTTGCTATCTGTTGCCCCTTTATACTCACTAGATAGGGTTGAGTGTGGCCATTTAGTTGTCCCCCATCACAGTAGACTAGATTATTTTGGATCCTTACTAATCATTTTTGAATTCCTCATTCCTCATCTGGCACACATGTGGGTGGGTCTGGAGCCTCAAGCCAAGAGTGAAATCTACAGCTAGGGAAAACCAGTGCGGAAAACTAAATATTGGGGGGAAACCAGATTTAAGGCGAGGAAGGACCATGATGAGAATGAAATGCTGCAGTAGGGGAGGAGTAATAAACTCAATAATTTACAGACGTGAATTATATGAGCTGGAAAATGTAAAATAAATATAGAATATGCGGTAAAAACAGCAGAAAAGAAGTTGCCAAGTAAAATAAACTCTTTGCTGGAAATATACAGAGAGCTGATTTTTTTTTAAGTCACAGAGTGTTAAAAATAGCTGTTTTTCCTCCACTGAGGTCATATGTTAAAGGCTACGGTCAAGCCCTCTGTGGCATTCCAGCTGTTACTGTCTAAATCCACTGGAAAAGCTATGGGTAGACTTAGCACAGACTGGGCATTGCAATACTCTAGGGGTATGTAAGTGGAATTCTTGGCAAACCAGATTTGTCAAACGTCCCACTTTCTGTACTATGGCAGCAGAATGTATGCTTCAGTTGATGAGACACAATGAAATGCTGCAGCAAGGGAGGAGAAATAAACTCTACCTGGCTGCCGTAACTCGTTCTAGGAGAAGAGTAATGCCGCTGGTGCTGCACTATGACCCGGGCGGCCCTCACCCTAGCTTTGCCGTGAGTCCGTGACTCCGCCTCCGCGTGATGTCATGGAATGCACGTACGCTACAAGGGAGGTCTGAAGAAGGAGCAAATCCGTCCTACACTATGCTGCGTTACCACTCGCATAGTGAAGGATCAGATCGAGAGGAAATAGCAAGTTGTTTTGGCAGCAGTGCAGGCTGTGCAGCACGGAGCCTCAATTTTGAGGCTTGATAAGGGTGTGCCCCAGCACACCCGGCACACCCCGTGCGCACGCCTATGGATTTTAACTTATTTTAACTGCCTTGATATGTAATTATTTTTTTGATATTTAAAGCTATGGATGTAATGAAAATTTTGAGAACATATTTAAGTTACATACAGCACACAAGAACACAAATAGGTTAAAGGAACACTGCATTCACGATAACAACGTCATCTAAAAGTTGTTTTAGTGCCTACAGTTGTTCCCCCTTTCTTAGAGGCTCCAAATGACATTAACTTGAAGCCATGCCTCCAAGCCCTCTAGATATGAGATCTGGGACTATTACTTCCCAGCTCTCATACCCTAACATACCGTGATGTCTGTGGAAGAATCATAGTTGCATCGATGCGTGTGTTGCACATGCGCCTATGGTCCCCATTGCTCCTCTTTGAGGAGCATTAGATGGGACGGTCATCCAGGAGGCACGAGAGATGGAGGAGCCACAGGAGCACGCAGGGAGACTTTTTGCTGGAGCATAGATAAGTAAAATCCTTTATTTAGTTAAATTTTGTTTGTTGCTTGCAGGCTGGTGGGGGAGGGCGGGAGGGGGGCTAAAACTAACTATGGATGTTTAGACTGTAGTTAATGCTGCAGTGTCCCTTTAACACAGAATGTAAATTAGTTGCATGCTAATGTTTAAGATTTATAATAAAGAACAGAAATATTGTTCATGCTCAGAAGAATCACAATTTGTTTTAAGTTTTTTGATAATAATGGCTTATTTGTGTATTTTGGATATATTTTCTATTTGTACTTTGATATTCATACATCCAAACCTTTCTGTTTTGTGCAGTTGTGTCACTGATATCTCAAGATGACGGAAAGCGGAGACTGCAGATTCAGCAATCTCACCTGGGATCAAATAACCATCCTGGATCAGGTACTGACAGAAGTTATACCCATTCATGGCAGAGGAAACTTTCCTACCATGGAAGTACAACCAAAGGATATAATTCGTCTTGTGAAAGAACAACTCCTTGAAAAGAAAATCACCGTACGTGACATTCGCTTAAATGGTTCCACCGCAAGTCACATTTTAATAAAACAAACTGGCACCAGCTGTAAAGATCTGGACATAATCTTTGGCGTGGAGCTTCCTGGGGAACATGAGTTTCAGACTGTTAAAGAAATCGTTTTGGATTGTCTTCTGGATTTTTTACCGAAGTGTGTCAACAAGGAGAAGATCACTGCTTTGACTATGAAGGAGGCATATATCCAAAAGATGGTGAAGGTTTCTACGGACCATGATCGTTGGAGTTTAATCTCTTTGTCAAACAATAGTGGGAAAAACGTGGAACTCAAATTTGTCAACTCTCTGAGAAGGCAATTTGAGTTCAGTGTAGACTCTTTCCAGATCATACTGGACTCAATGCTAAATGTTTACACAGACAAAGAAAGAACATTGTCTCCCGAATCACACCCTACAGTTATTGCCGAGAGCATGTATGGAGATTTTAAGGAAGCGATGGAGCATTTGAAATATAAGTTGATTGCCACCAGAAATCCTGAAGAGATACGGGGAGGAGGGCTTCTAAAATACAGCAACTTATTGGTCCGTGACTATAAACCTGCTAGCGAGAAGGAAATCAAATCTTTGGAGCGTTACATGTGCTCCCGATTTTTCATTGACTTCCCAGATGTGGCTGAGCAACAGAGAAAGATTGAATCATACCTCCGCAGTCATTTCATCGGAGAAGAGAAAAGCAAATATGATTATTTGATAACTTTGCATGCGGTGGTCAATGAGAGCACTGTCTGCCTCATGGGTCACGAGAGGAGACAAACTCTTAATATGATTGCTGTGCTGGCTCTGAAAGTTCTTGGGGAGCAGAATATTATTCCAAACACAGCTAATGTTACATGCTATTATCAGCCCGCTACTTACATAAGCGACAGGAATTTCAGTAATTATTACACAGTTCAAGGACAGCCTTCCATATTCTACCAGCCTTACCAGCTTTATGTTCACGCGGAATGGGCTGGTCTAGTGGTACACAAGCTAGCACCATTAAAATAAAGGAATTTGGCGCAAAGAAATGAAAATCTGCATCGTGAAATGACTGTTTGTTGTGCAAAATGACACTTTGAGTAAATACTTAAGTATTCATTGAAGGGGCTACAAAATCCCCCTTTAAAACATATCCTTGGGTTTCTTTATGTTGGAATAGCATCAGGATAAGTTACAGAGGACATAGATATATGGAGTTATGTATGAAGGGGTATTGAGAAGTCAAATTCTGAATGTTGAACAGTCACCATGGAAACCAACGAAATGTTCCTACTGACTGTTTCACTTTTAGAACATTGCACTTTTTGTTAACTCCATGAGAGTTATGTATAAAAGTGGGGCAGTCACCATGGAAACCAGTGAAACCAGCAGACACATTCCATCGGTGACTCTGCCCCTTTTCCATGTTTGCACCAATTTTCAGAAAATAGATTTTTTTAAATACATAACCCCTATATGTGTCAGATATCTGTTATGTCCATTGCTATGAAAAGTTTGTTGGGAGGGGGGAGAACAAGTGTCTGAAAACTATTTAAATATATGAAATATTTCTTAGCACCATTTACAGTTATGAATTGAAAAAAAAGTTATATGATTGAGTATTTTTTTCTTACATGTCTGAAAATTTTATTTTTTTCCTGTCTTTTCTTAAAAAAAACAACAACAAAAAAAACAAAAAAGAGAGAGAGATGGTCCTGGTCTTTACATTTCTTAACAGAAAATAATATATTGAAGATGTGATTGCTGCTTTGTAGATTCTATACCTTGTCCTGTCTGGGTTTATTGAATTGGTGACATTCAATAGGTGACAAGTATGAAGATTTGTTCAAAACCTTTGCATTCCGTGGTGTCTCATCTGTGGTTAAAGAAAATGTGATCCGGATTTTCAGAATTTTTCATCGTTCTTTTTTACATGTTTCATGGAATGCTTTGAAGTGGAAATGCCCTTTTAAGTCTGCTAATGCCATCATGATTGACCATTAGAGGGTCTGTAATGCCTGGGCTCTAAACTGGCAACATACTGTCATAAAATCATATACATTTCAAAGTGTTACTTACCTGTAATGCATTTACACAGAGCAGCAGGAATACACCCAATCAGGTTATGATCAGAATACAAATAATGTTCAAGAGTTACTCCAAGCATCATAACCACTACAGCCCGCTGTAGCGTTTATGATGTCAGAAGTACCCTTGTCCAGTCCCCCAGTAGTAGGGCAAACCATTTAGCAATAGTTTGTTTCCTTACCCGGGTACCCACCAGGCTACAGTGCTCCCTGATGGTCGAGTAATGTGTTCCAGCTTCTGCAGAGCCGCAAAAGCCAGAAACCACGAAACCTGGCGCAATTAATTGGCTGAGAGCATCATCTGACCACTTTCAACCAATGACTGACAATCTGTTTGATGAAAGATGCACAGAATTGATATTAGTCTGGAACTCAAGTTCCAGGCTAACTGATAACATTACAATGAGCAATACAGAAGTATATATATAACATACGTGATCACCAATAGTCGGTAAACGTTAATAAAATAAAATTACCCTTAGGGATACAATAGATTGTAAGAAGATCCCTCAAGTCTTAAAAGAAATATAAGAAATACAATCTAAAAAAAATAAAAATAATAGTGTGGTATATAAAAACGCTAAATTTGGTTTACATTACGACACTGCAGCAAAGGGGTTAACCTCCATAGGTGAAACTCTGCACACACAGACTCCAGACACAATGACCACTTCAGATCACTGAAGTAATCATGGCGCATGGAGTAACCATTTAAGAGGCCAGAAAATGGCAATACTGAGAATGATAATTTTCGTATAAGAGCAACTTAGGCTAAAGCATTACTGACCTTTTAACTTAACCTGTTGGAAGGGTGGCTACAAAGAGGCATAATGACCCTATCAGCAGTGTAAAAACTATAAAGACGTACAATGAACTAGTTTATTGCTCAGCCCTCTTCTACTCGTGGGGTAAATAGCGTCATCATGTTCACTGAAATAGTCCATATCAAAGCTAACGTTTTTTGAGTGTACTTTTGTTCATTGTTATTCTGTGGACATAGTGTCAATGAAAAATGTCTACTTATCCTGAAATACTGTGATGTAGGAATACATTAGGGGATAAACTCATTAAACAGTGAGTTGTGGTGCTTTGACAAAAGAGTTGCATGCTTGTCATCAGCACACACAGCAAACATACACTTATAAATATTTGAGTGGCATTTAAAGTAGTACTGTCTCTTGGTGGGACTCTGCATTCATCAAAACCCCCACCACCATTCTGAGACATGCCCGCTGCATTTTGGTGCCTCCATCTTTTCAACCTCTGACAGATTAGGCATGTGAAAGTGTTCAAAGAGACCACAAAGGTAATATGGGAGTGATTATATAAACATAGACGGGTGGATGTTAAAGGGACACTATAGTCACCATGACCACTACAGTTTAATGTAGTTGTTCTGGTGTCTACAGTCTGTCCCTACAGGCTTTTCTATGTAAACTGCCTAGTAACATCTCTAGTTGCAGTTACTCAGACGGACACTAGAGGTACTTCCTAGTGCAGTGCTGGTAAAGCATCGGATTGGCTGAAATCATCAAGATTGAATGCTCATGGAGGCAGGACCAGCTGAGGCAAGACTAGTAAAACACCTTTTTAAAGCAATGCAAGGGGGCACCTAAATAGTTAGCTTAGCACTATAGTGTCAGGAATACATATTTGTATTCCAGACAATATAGTGTTCCTTTAAGGAACATTATAGCCACGTTTGCCCTTGTAACCTTGCCCTGGGTGAGGTATATTTAGGATTGCAAGGGCTTAGTGTTAGGCCTTGTTTAGGGTATGGGGAACTAGGGTATTGGGTTCAACCCAAACAGCCTTGTCAGGTTTTAAAATATGCTAACGAAATAGTAATAAAAACACTGCCTAGAGATATTTCTAACTTGGCAGAGGTAGAATTATATTCAACTCAGTTATTTTGACTTGAATTTTGAAAATGTAACAAGTAAATTGTGCACCTAGCACAACTCACTGTTTAGACTTTAGAGCATAAACCCCAGGTTTCAACAAAAGATTATCTTCTATTTTCATTAAAGAATTCAGTGCCATTGACTTAAAGGTGCCATAAGAAAAAAAGATGACTCTTAAGGGGATTACATGTTTCTATAAACCAATGTTGTTTACATTGATAAATTGTCTTTATATGTGTTATGCCAAAGTCAGAAATAAATTGGCATGCTCAGTTTATCTCACTTTCAAAAATAAATATATTTTTCTTCTTAAAAATAATTTTTCTCTTTTCTTGTTTTTTTGGTGCAAAAAAAAAAAAGTGTTGTATGTCTTTTTAAAACACAGATTTAAAATACACAAATACACTTCACCCAGAATGTATTGAAATATCTCGTAAACTCTTTAAAAAAGTTACACCATAAAATCAGTGTTTAAATATTATCACTATTTTTTTTATTTTATTTTTTTTAATCATTTTTGTCTTTGTGGAGTCATGAAGGCACTGACATTTAGTCAGTAAAATACAAGCATTTTGTACCACAAGATAAATCACAGTCATAGTTATTACAACATCTCAGTGCTGACAATGAGGTGCACAGAGGTTAGAACTGTGATGCATAAGAGTAAGCAAAATATAGTGAAGAAATGGCCATTCTTGAAACACTGGGACAACCAAATTGGGAAGAGCCAGTGATATAAGAGCCAGTGATATAAAATGAACACATACATTTGCAGAAACACAGATGCACACACTTACAAGCAGTGTTTTACTGCACCAGATTGAAGAAGCCATTCCGGCGAAACGCGTCTCTGGCACTATTTATATTATTATTTGATATTTTAATTATACTGCATACTACTGCTGAATACACAAGAAAACTCCTAAACTACTTTCCATGAAGAAAAAGGGGCAGGTCGCCTGAACGGACCTACAGGCAAATAACTCCCAGAGCTAGGTTATAGCTCTGGAATATGTATATACAACATTGGACGTTCAAGGATATGTACAAATACGGCATATATATATTCCTTGTTTGCACTAGGTGTACTATTAAGTTTTATGCACATATTTAAGCGCTCTACTGAATTTGGTACCAAAAAATAGTCTATGACAGTCTAGAACTAGCAAACTCTAATGTCACCTCACCAGCAAGGTTTAGGGTGGGCGATTGAAGACTCAGTGAGTGTGTGTATGAGGGGTGCTGTGTGTGTGTGAGGGGTGCTGTGTGTGTGAGGGGTGCTATAACTCTTAAAGATCTGCACAAGATGCAATGTGCAATTCGGGCTACAGTCACTCCATGGTTAAATGAGGGAAGCCCATATTCAATAAGAAAAGGGATACCAGAGCTGGTAAGGGCTGATAAGTCAAATGAGTGATTCTATAAATATTGTTATTTTTTTTTAAAGTTGGAAGCCTTGCATGGGAGCACAGAATACTCATCTGGCATAAAGTATGATGGTGCACAGATCTTGGTTTAGGGATATAGAATTAGGCCTTTACACAATGGTTCTTTACACAAGCACCTTGTTTAGATCTGCTGCTTACGAAGAAGGAGCAAATGGTAGTAAATAGCAGGCAATGCTGCCAGATGGTCCTTTGAGATGGAGCGCTTGGTGAAAACTTTTTAGTTTTCCAAAGATTCACAAAGGACTTCTCTTCTTCAGAGAGCTTCACCACCCTAATTTTGTTGTTGGATACATTGTTCTATCTAATGGTATAACTTTCAACTGGCATCTGACCTTCATAAGAAGTGAAAGTTTATCACTGAAGGTCTGTGGAGTAGTGAGCTCCAGAGTGCCAACTCTGGAGAAAAGGCCCTATATGTAATTTAAAAGTGAGAGTTGCAAAGATTGAGTAGATGTTAAGAGATTGGACTTGGTAGGTCGATTTCACGAGATGGAGCATCAGTCAGCTTTATCTAGATTGGAAATCTGCTGGGAAAGAGGTAATTGAGACAGAGAAGCTGGTGAGGAGTCCATGAGGTCAAGGTAAGAGGATTGTGTAATGAGGCACTTTCTTAAGGCTGGTTCAAGAGATGATTGATTCAAACCCAAGTGGAAATATCAGCTCTCCATGTAGCTGTATGAATTGTGAAGACTGATCTAAAATTATCAAGTTTTCATTGAAACTAAAATCAGGCATCATTTTAGTGGACTCCAAGTCATACTCCTACTGCATTAATTTCAATTATGGTTGTTGCCATGAAGATTGGACAGTCGGACTGATCCTTTTCAGAAATAACTACTATGTAGCTGCCTTTAAAGAGGAACCATCACTTCACTGGAAATTAAACCACTGAATAACTCACCGGAAATCACCTATTACTTGTGTTAGTGTTTTTGATGTGATGTTCTGTTTTTTTAATCCATATTAAAGATTTAGTAAGTGACATCCCGATACAGTTTAGTCACACATTGCAAATGAGGAGGAGAAAAAAAAACATTGTTTCATTTCTCCTCTTCTCTGGATGACTTCTCTATACTGACTGTCAGATAAAAATAACTGAATGGAGAACAAAGATTGACAGGGACCTAAGATGGAAGCGCCCAGTAACTGTATAATGACATGTTGGTTGCTACATTTAAAGGGACACTATAGTCAGAAGAACAACTTTATCTTTATAAAGCAGTTTTAGTGTATAGATCATGGCCCTGCAGTCTCAATGCTCAATTCCATGTAATTTAGGAGTTAAATCACTTTGTTTATAAAACCATAGTCACACTTACCTGCATGTGACTTGCACAGCCTTCCTAAACACTTCCTGTAAAGAGTCATCTAATGTTTACACTTCCTTTATTTTAAATTCTGTTTAACTTGGACTTTCTCATCTCCTGCTATGTTAATAGCTTGCTAGACCCAGCAAGAGCCTTGTGTATGTAATTAAAGTTCAATTTACAAAGCAGGAGATAAAAACTTTTAAAGTTAGTTACATTGGAATGAAAATGAAACTATTTTGTTTCCATGCAGGCTGTGTCAATCACAGCCAGGGGAGGTGTGGCTAGGCCTGCATAAACAGAAACAAAATAGACTTAACTCCTAAATGGCAGTGAATTGAGCAGTAAAACTACAGAGACATAATCTATACACCCAAACTGCTTCATTAAGCTAAAGTTGTTTTGGTGACTATAGTGTTAGTTTTGGTGACTATAGTGTTACTTTTATTTTTCACAAATCACATACATATTTGTTAAATTTACGAAACAAGTGAACATAATATAAAAAAATCCTGGAAAGTGACAGTTTCCCTTTAAGATCATTAGCACTATAAACCCCATCATTCCATCATAAACCAACAAAGTCACTCTCTAAACCCTAACTATCCCTAAACCTAAACCATAGGGTGCAATGGTAATTCCAGTGTTCTGATCTTTCTATTTGTGCTCCAATATTTTTTGTAGGATAACTGTTACCTAAAAATCAATTTTGGACAAACAAAATGCTCTCAGTGTGTCAGTGGATGAACTATTTTAGTGGAAAAGGTAAATCCTCAACTGTCATGGTACCCATCCTTGCAAGGTTGTGTTTGTGAGCAGTGTTTGTGCATTTGAATGTAAGCATGTTTTTCATGGAGTATGTATGTGAATGCAGGAGTTTATTTGTACGTACTGTTGACATTAGAATGCCGGTATTTAATAAAACAACATTAAAGCATTGCTGAAATGATTGTGAATTTTTATTGTCAACATTTTATAGTGAATCGCATTGCTTTGTCCTAAAATTTGCATACCTTTATAATTTCTCTACATTTTAATCATTAATCCTTAACGAGATAATCTGATTTTATTAAGACACGGAGGCTCCTATTATGCTGCACTCTTTCTTTATTTACCTCAGCAGCAAAGAAAAATAACATTAAATCAGTATAAAAGAAACCAGTAAATAACATGAGGTATATCTTCCTAGCAACTGCAACAGCCAATCAGCATCCTCTTTATAGCATAATAGGCAGTGTCCAGTATACTACTTCCTCTTTCTTTGCTGCTCCCTCAGTTAAGTGACACTGGGTCCCATGGTTCTTAACTGTGGGATCTTTTACTTTACTTTATTCATATCATTACTGTGCTTAATATAGTTATTATAGTTATTACATTTTAATTATAATATTTTCATGTTTATAAATATATTTACTTACTTCATTTTAACGTAATTTGATTTATTTATTTCATTTGCTTCAGTAATATGCATTATTGTATATCCTTTGATAATTTCTTTCCCCTCTGACCTCCCTGGCCCCAAGAATACCATTAATTGGGGCTCAGGGACGTCATTGAGGATCTTTATCTCCTGAATAGTGCTATTGTGCTGTTTTTTCCCTTCATTTATCTGTCTGGCTGCTGCTCTGCCACCAACTGCCAGAAATCCAAGTTGGGGTTTAGTTGTAGTGGCAGCTCCTTTGTCTTTATATTACAATTGCTATTTTTTTTTCACTATTGTGAGTACTTTCATTTCTTTATCCTGTTTAGTTATTTATTTATTTTTTACTTGAGGGTTACTCAACCCTTTACTTTTGGTATTATTTTGCTTTATACAGCCCCTTAGGTTTGTTTGTATATTTATGATGCAATCTGACAGGATCTTTCTGTGCCTTCTGGGTCTACAGCAAACATGCAGATTAATGTAGAAGCCTCTCCAGGTATCTCTGGAGATGAGGCTGAATTTATGCTTTACTGATCCTGCTGACATGCAGGCTTTAATTGACACTTCCATGGCAAAAGCAATGACAAGGCCCTGGTGTCAGGCCACAAGGCCTCATATAAGGCTAAACACTCCTCCAAAACAATAGAGATGGACAGTACCATACCTGTCATGGATGGCGCGATTAATTTACCACCGCGCAAAAGAGCTACTAGTCGGGCAAAATCGACTAGACTTTGAAAAAGGGCAAAAGCCCAATTGAACTCTAAATCTGAGCTCAGGGATATTGAGGAGGAGTTTCCCTGAGTACTATATGGAGGTGTATCTGTACTCACACCTGCTCTGCTTCAGCCTGGCCGCAAGGCCTCATATAAGGCTAAACACTCCTCCAAAACAATAGAGATGGACAGTTCCATACCTGTCACGGATGGCGCGATTAATTTACCACCGCGCAAAAGAGCTACTAGTCGGGCAAAATCGACTAGACTGGAAAAGGGCAAAAGCCCAACTGAACGCTGAATCTGAGCTCAGTGATATTGAGGAGGAGTTCCCTGAGTCCTATATGAAGGATTCAGAGGATATTTCTGATCCTGATTATGAAATT